TTAATATGGAGAGGCATTGTTCGATTGGCCAATCGTGTTTCAGTATGACGTCAAAGTGAAGTATCAATTGATTTCTATAAAGTTCTCGGGCATGACGTTTTTTCACCCGAGCGTTCGCTGAACCGACCAAAAGCCACGCGCATTTGTATCCGTTCGATAAACCAATCAAATCGCTCTATTTTCGTTCATTTGTTGTTTCTGTTTTGTTCACGTGTCTTTATTTCAAGGTCATAAGAAAATCGAAAATGCAGAGTTAGTGTCAAAACTGAACGTGTTTAGTGGGAAAACTTAAAGGTTTCTGTACCTTGAGAGGCAAAACTTCTTTGTTCACGCCGTAGAAAAAAGCCATAGCACAAGTCCATGAACACAAGCCAGCAACGTTTCCACAGACCTGCCAACCACATTAATGTGAAAAATCAAACGCTTCACGTAAACTAACCATCATTTCAAAAAGGCTTCATCCAGTTCCAACATACAGTCTAATAAAAATTGCAAAAACCAGTCGTTCAAGAGGTGGATAACACTATCTACTGGATAAATCTCTGTTTAGTGGATAAAGCAACTGGTTTCCCTGAAGAATGATTTATCCGTTGGAAAGCGCTATCGGACGTTTGAGCAACCGGGGCCTGGTAATGAAAAGAACAACAGTTTAATCTAATTAATTTAATTTCATCATTTCCACCATATGGTGCGGAACACACAACAGAGAGGGGCTTCAATTGACCACTCCAGAAAATACCATAACATACCATAATGCTTTTTGTTTGTCACCGCATAATTTTGCATAAGCTTTGTCTTAAATTTCTCTTGGGAGTTAAAATGGCCCCAAGAGAAACTGAAAACAACGCTTATGCAAAATTTTGGGCTGACAAACAAAGAGCATTATGGTATGTTATGGTATTTTCTGGAGTGGTCAATTTAAGTGTGGCCTTTCAAACAACCCACCCAGCCCAGGAAAGGTTGGCCACGTCCCCTACTCTTTTCGAACAGCGGTGTAGGTTCTTTTACGTCCCACAAGAACCAGATGTCCTTATCCGAGAAGACTAGAAAGTCTAACCGTTTGCAGATGTCGTTGGAAAGGCAGCACTTTCTCCTCGGTTATTTTTAAAAAGACCTTGAGTGTTGGTCCGGTCAGGCGGCGGTTTTGTAGAAATGGAACAATTTTGTAAACTAGAAATGTTAAAAACCTTTTTGGCGGTAGCTAGGTTGTAGTCTTCCATCTGTAGGTATGGCTGTAACAATTCGACGGCTTCCTCGTTGATCGTGTCTTTGGGAAAATTCACCAGATTCTGAAGAAACCCTCCTTGGCTCATGAGCTGTGCGGAAAAATACGGCTTTTAGATACAGTGAGGAAAAAAAGGCGCTGTAACTTGCTAACGCTTTGACATTATGCTCCTTTAGTAAAAGATTAAATGGAAAGTTATNCAACGCTTATGCAAAATTTTGGGCTGACAAACAAAGAGCATTATGGTATGTTATGGTATTTTCTGGAGTGGTCAATTTAAGTGTGGCCTTTCAAACAACCCACCCAGCCCAGGAAAGGTTGGCCACGTCCCTTACTCTTTTCGAACAGCGGTGTAGGTTCTTTTACGTCCCACAAGAACCAGATGTCCTTATCCGAGAAGACTAGAAAGTCTAACCGTTTGCAGATGTCGTTGGAAAGGCAGCACTTTCTCCTCGGTTATTTTTAAAAAGACCTTGAGTGTTGGTCCGGTCAGGCGGCGGTTTTGTAGAAATGGAACAATTTTGTAAAATAGAAATGTTAAAAACCTTTTTGGCGGTAGCTAGGTTGTAGTCTTCCATCTGTAGGTATGGCTGTAACAATTCGACGGCTTCCTCGTTGATTGTGTCCTTGGGAAAATTCACCAGATTCTGAAGAAACCCTCCTTGGCTCATGAGCTGTGCGGAAAAATACGGCTTTTAGATACAGTGAGGAAAAAAGGCGCTGTAACTTCCTAACGCTTTGACATTATGCTCCTTTACTAAAAGATTAAACGGAAAGTTATCAGTGTTCATTTCAGGGCGTATTTTTGCGTAATAAGCGCATTTGTCTGATGACGCAAAAAGTTCTTTCGGGCGTCTCATGGAACCGGTACATTGCTAACTTTAAAGGGGGTTTTTATGGTTGCTAGGGTTGGTTACTCTAAGGTATCTGAACCGGTAAAACTTCAACATTTTCTCGTCCTCAAAAGCCATCTACAGTAAGATTAGGTCAAGTGATAGGCATATCGATTTTTCAATGTACCATCTTATTAAACGGATTGCTGCATTTGTGTCCGCCATGTCTTTTTGCAAATTCTTGGGTGAACCAGGGAGAGATTCGTGGTATGTCACACAGCAACTGATAACTTCTCTAAGGTTTGAAATAACAACCCTCGCCCTCGTTTGGTGTTTGTGAAGACAAAAACTTCAGTACGGGGTACTTTGATTTTTCGATGTCGCCTAGCAACTCCTCATGGTCACCATTTGAGATCAACCGTAATAGCGCTTTCAATTTGCCAAAGGCGTTGCCATAGTTACCTTAAGCGACTCTCCCCAACTCGGAGTCACACATTCCCTTTCCGCATCGTAAATGACCGGGGAAATAGTTCGTCTGAATAGTAACAGCACACAATCCATAATGCGCATGATCAGATGAGGTGGCTTAGCCAGCTTTCGGACCGTCGAGATGTCTGCGGCTTTAATTGTCTAATGAGTGCAAAATACGAAATAACATGCAGCTTATCAAGCATTAGAAATCACTTGGACATAGTCAAGAGTTTGTGAATCAGGCTGTAATTTTGTATCCACCTTTCTCGCATTTCTGTAAACAGAGATTCTATCAGAGATTCAACAGTTGGATTTGTATGAAAATGTCTATCAATTGAAAACACTCAACATTGTGTCGCTGTGTGTGAGTTCCCTGAACTGAAATGCGAGAGAGGTTCTTTTTTTAAAAAACAATAACGGTACTAAAAATTATGATAATAATGATAATGATAAAGATAATGATGATGATAACGAAGATGATTATGACGATGATAATAATGATGACAATGATAATACTACCAATAATGATGATGATGATGATGATGATGATGATGATGATGATGATGATGACGATAAAACAATATTGGACAAAATTTGTAAAAACCTGAAGAGCTGCCTCTGCCTCCTCCAGAGCTGGTTTAGCGGCTGATAGCTTCTTCTCCGCAACTGCTTTGTCAGCCTAGAAATGTTCACACACCTTGTTAGTCATGGAGAAAATTCGTGGATATTTACCGTTAAGCTAAACCTGACCTCAATTTCGTCCACTATGGCTTGGGCTTTATCCTTAACTTTCTGTACAGATGCCTTAACTTTCTCGGCAGCTTGGGCACTGACCGTCACTTCCGCCAGCACCTAAATAAAACAAAAATGTTAATTATTCTGTACACTCTCCAATCAGTTGCGTAATAACGTTCCTGGTGCATAGTGCTTGGGCGTAGCCACACCCCGAAATTTTTGGGTACTTACTTCTGCTGAAGATAGCGCGTTATAATCTAGTCACAACTGTTGAATGAGAACCCCAGGCCATTATTACTTTGCTTTGCCTTTCTCTTAGGCTCCAATACCGTAATTTTCGCACAACTTACATTCGCTCAAATTGCTTTTTCAAATGTCTTTGCGCAAACACAGAATGCGTAAGAGTCATTCCAACTTTATGCCACGGTCGGGGGAGCAAGGGGGAGCAGTGGTGAGAGCACTTTTCTCCCGGGTTCGAATCCCGGAGTCTACGCCATTTGTGGGTTGAGTTTGTTGTTGGCTCTCTCTCCATACTAAGACAGGTTTTCACCAGGTTCTCCGGTTTCCCCTTCCAATCAAAGACCAACCCTTCCAAATTCCAATTTCATTTGGATTGCATGGGCACATTTAAAAGAGTTCATAATTGGTGGGTAAAATTTACAATCAAGGCAGTTGCTCGTTATGAGCATTACCTTGTCAGCTTTCACAGACGCAACAGCGAGTTCTTTCTCTTTTACCACAAGTTCTTTTGACAGTTCAGCCACTGATGCACTGGCTTCCACCAGTTTATCCAGACCTGTATTCATTCGGTTGGCTAGCTCACCAATCTGTGACCTCTTCTCCGCGTAGATGGTTTTGTAGCCGTCAACAAACGACAGATATGACTTAGGAGTTACGTGGGTTTGATGGCGGAATCTGTAGAGAAGTATTGACGCATATATCATATGTTAGCCACTCTCTTAAGCAAGAGGGGCAGCTAGGTTAATAAGCCATTTGCACAATGACTTGTTTTATCTGCTAAGACCAGAATTCATCTTTTATTTTAGTAGTAGTAGTACTGGTGGTGGTGGTAGTAGTGGTAGTGGTAGCGGTATCGGTAGTGGTAGTGGTAGTAGTAGTAGTATAATGACGCCGTTATGCAAACGGCCTATAACCTTAGCTAGATTCCTGAGTGTCGGAGTCCGGAGTCGGCACAGGCAACCAGTGTCCATAAAGCGGGGTTCACGATATATGGGAGTTTGTGACTCGGGACACAGAAAAATGTCCGTTGTCCGTATCAAGCGGGTTAATTTTAGAGAAAATACAGAGCTTTTCGTCTGGACAAACGAAACAGTCCGTAATATACAAGGGTGTCCGTAGAGCGGGGTTCGACTAAACTCATTACTTTATAACACGTGGAATAATATTGACATTAAAGGAAACCTATCCTGAGGTTATACATAGTAAACTGTAAAGGAATTAATAGGGCCATTTATACGAGGAAAAATAAGACTCGTCTTACATAGGGCGCGTCTTAAATAAGACACGAACTTTCCGTATAAACGGCACATTTCGTCTAAAATAAGACGCGTCTCATTTTAGAAAGCCCTTAACACCTGTTCTTAGATAAGACGCGTCTTATCTAAGACGAGAAAAACTTGGTATTAATTACCTTCGCGTCTTACATAAGACGCGAACGCATAGTACGCATGCGTTAATTTTTGGCGCGCCACGTTGGATTGCCGTTGCTACGGGCAACATTCACATGAAAACGAGTCAACAACAGAAATAAGACGCGAACCATTTATACGAGCTGTTCTCGTCTTAGACGAGATATGCTGGTATAAATGGTCCAGTTCGCGTCTTATTTAAGACGCATCTTATGAAAGACACGTCTTATTTTTCCTCGTATAAATGGCCCTGATGTGGGTGGTAGAGAATGGAGGAGATTAATATAGATTACAAGTGACAACATCGAACCCCAGGCTCTGATTTTCCAAAGGAAAAAAGCGTGAAATAGCTGCTTTAGAATGTACATGCTTTGTATCGATGCTTGTAGAACGTTTTCTAATGATTTCCTTTCTAGTTTTCACTAAACCAATATACTTGCCTTTCAAAATACTCGACGCAAGCCTCGGCCACCCCGTCATGAAATGTGCCCATGGTGCGAACTACGCTGTTCTTGATACTTGCTGAACACGTGATATCAAACTTGGACAAAAAGTAATCTGCTACTGCGATCAATGCGTCCTTTGGCCAGCGGGTGAACCAGTCCATTGTACAACCGCTGATCAGTCCAGGGAACTTCAAAGAACGGTTTCGGAATTTCTCTCCCACCTATTGTGCCAAAAGAAATGGTAAGGTTGCTAAGATCTTGGGTGCTTTACTTGGGAGTGCGGACGCACGATACAAAATCTAGCACATAAGAGCGTATTCATCTAAAGATAGTGCTTTTAATTTGTCACGTGATAAACATAATACCCAAAAGGTTATGCACATTGAAGGGGCTGGAAACAGATGAATTCATAGATGTCCATACATACGACAAAATATCACGCGCGACCACTTAATATTCCCTATTGTACAGATCAATTTTTTCGACCGTTTTTCTATCCGATATGTGACTCTCCCCTTTAGAGTTCGGCGCCACCAGCTACGCTCCGTCACAGAAATTGCGCCGAAATCACCGTCCTTATGTGTGAACAGAAGCACCAACCTGTGTAAATTTCGAGTCGGCCCAAAGGCTATCTGGTATAGTGTGAACATAGACCTATCTCTTTTTTGCCGTTATTGTTGCCGTTGACTTCATCGCTGCTCAAGCTTCGTATTAGGCCCAGTTCAAACGTTGAATGTTTCATGTACCGAGCCTAATCCCTTCAATTAAGTACATGAGAGGGTCGACGTCTGAATCAATTGAGTTCGACATACAGTCGAACCTCTGGTAACGGCCACCTCTCTACAACGGCCACATTTTTTTGGTCCAGGCGGACAAAAAATCCATACATTGACTCTTGTTTAAAACCTCTCTTCAACGGCCACCCCTTTACTAAGGCCAATTTCTTCTGTCCCCAAGGTGGCCGTTGTAGAGAGGTGGAACTGTATCTTATTTGGGTCGACCAATGAATTACAATCGAGTGACCCACATGGGAATTTCGACTGTGGAGCGAGTTCGTTTCATGTGCCGATCCTAATACATAAATGACTACAATTTATTTCGAGTGGTAAGCATTGTAGATCATTGTACATCGTGATAGTGAATTAAGTCAAACTAATTATCTGCGACGTCTGAATCAACCGTCGAACTTATATCATTGGGTCGATCTAAAAACGTATTAGGTTCGGTACATGAAAAGTTCGACGTTGATCTGGGCCTTATGGAAACAACTCGGAGGCGGCAATGAACACAAAGACTCGCATTAATAAATACATGTATCTAAGATAATGAACGAATACTTACAGGCGAAAAACACAAAACAACGTGTAGGTTCTTCCTGGAGCGAGAGATGAAGTAGTTGTACAAATTATCGTTGGTCGGGGGTACTCTGGGAAGCTCCTTTTTCATTGGTCCAATCAAACCTTGAGTTATTTCGTCCAGTTCATCTCGGGCGAATAAGTTGGAGACCTGAAACACCAAGATAAGATACGGTAAAAATGTATTGGTTCATTAGTGTTGCTTAAAAGGAGGAGGGGCAGTACCAATCTGAAAGGTAGACAGCAATTAGTAGAATTCACTCCTGAAGAGACACTATACCAGATGTAGCTTTAAGCGTGGTAAAGTTTCACTTAAAAATTCATCACGTTTGCTAAGCACTGGTGCAAAGACGTTTATAAAGAGGTGTACTAGCCGTATGTTTAACAGGGTTGGGCGGCTTACCTCCCCTGAAGAAAGAACGTTATTAAGGTACTCAAGGAAACTTTCATCCTTGATTTCATTGTCAGTGAAGATGAATGTGATGCCATTGCCCTCGAAACCAGCCACTCGATACAAATACTTCAAGTCATCCATCAAGTTGCTCACGTTGTAAGATCTAAATCAATAGCAACGAAATACAAATAACTTTGATTTTCTTTCGTAGCTTTAGTCAGAAGGTTACAGTTGGGTGAAAGAAAAACTGAATAAGCACCACCCCCCCGCCTCCCCCACAACAGCCCCTCGTTTTCGGTTGAAATATTACAATTACTACAGTATGATGTAATTTGAGAACAAAACCGTCATACAACAAAAGCGAAAGTAAAACCGAAACATAGTGAACTGAAACTAGCTTACACTTGACAGGATATGATAAAAAAGCAACGAATACCTAAATGTGAAAAACTTTCCTGAATAAGCCCCGACTAGAAGCTCTTTAAGGTCATTCAGAGAGAGTACAAACTATAAAAGACCCTAAATACAATGTTTCCACTGTTGGGGGAACTTGACCTCAAACCCCGGAAAAATTAAGGCTAGCGCTTATAATGAAACAATTATGCCTTAAACACTGATACAAATACATAGAAAACCTGTTGCAGTTAATTTTCTATTTCAGTTAATTTTTATCTTTCCATTGTTTTTTCGGCATGGTAATGTATGCTAATGAATTTAAAACAATGGAAAAACAAAAATTAACTGATATAAAAAATTAACTGCAACAATCCTGTTCATTCACCTGTCTCCGAAGATTTCAAACGGTGTGTCTTAAGGTCCCTTAACTTATAGTCTGTGACTCATAAGTGATACATTACCTTGAGAGGGTGATTTGAAAAATCTTGTATCCGGCGATAAAAGAAGCCAATCTTGTAAGAGATTGCTTGCCTGAACCACCCACTCCAACGAGGAGAGCGTTACCGCACGGCGTGCGGATAATACGAGATATCTGAATTGATAAATAACAAACAAAATTTTGTTATGACAACGTATCGTGTTTGTTTTGTCTGATGAACCAACACACTTGCCTTGACCAGATGAACCATAGCGTCCTTGAAGAACACGAGGTCCAAGTGTGCTCCCCTGACGGTGTCATTATACATTGACATGTATTGACCCAGCTTCTCGTTCAGAAAATCCAGCGTTGGTACCTGTCACAGAGAAGAGTTTGGAAAATGCTGAATAAATACCAGAGAGTTTAAGTCAAGAAATTATAGCACAAAAAAATTGATGAATTCAACATCATCAGTCGTTCACCATCTCATAGATTTTGGGAGCTTCTAAATCTGCATCTTCGGGTTCTTCTCCTGTTGGTTCCGGAGCGTCTCTGAAACATGGAAAAAAACGATCAACGTATTCATAAGCTCGTTAATTAAGAGACAGACATCTTAGTCAATCATCCATTCGAACTCTTTTGAAGGACAATATGGTTTCTTTTATTGGCTATTACGATGTTAAATTTTTTTGTATGTCTAAATTAAATTTTCGTCCTGTGCTTCCTAGACTAGATCCCAGGCTATCCTCAACAAGAACAACAACAACAACAACCTTTATTACATCCATTTAGAGAAAAAAATGTTAAATTTTGTGATAGCTAATAGTAAGACGAGAAAAAAAAGAGGTTACATTGTAAGTACTGTTGATATTTCAGCTACTCCATATTCTCCACTCAATCTACTATTGAAACAATTTTTTAATTCGCATCTTTCAGCGAGTCCTCTGAGTCTACTTCAGCGTAACCCTCAAACCAGTTCGATATGTGGGTGAGCGGAGGAGGCTTGGAACCGAGCGACAAAATTTCCCATCAATCTTGGCCGGCGATGTCACATCATCAGAACTCGCCAAGGAAGTCCAGGGACGAGGATGAGGATGCGCATAAAATTATTTATTTTGCTTCAGTCTCGTTCCCAGGTCAGTTCGCTTTGTGATCGAGCAGAGGAGGCTTGGCACCAAACGCGAATTTTTCCATCACGCTTGAAGTGACGTCACATCATAAAACGCCAAGAAGACTGGGAACGAGGTATCCTAACTTTTATGGCTCTTCACAAGAGCATGCGCATGGAATTTTTAATTTTGGCGCGAACGTACATAAGGACAGTCACCTGAGAAAGTCCACAAAGTAGGGCTCATCCAACAGCTGGTTCACCGCGTCATCTTCCATATGATCTTGGATCACTTTGGTCGAGGTCTTTTCAAACCACTTGCGGTCGGCTTCGTTGGTAAAGCGGTCGGCTATCACTCGAGTGCACTCGTGTTTCCAAAGTGCCAATGCAAGCTTCATCGTGTCAACTTCTTCTCCGGCCACGTTCAGCATGCCTTCCCAGATGCGGGAAAGATCACGCAGATTAAAGATATAGTGAAATTTAGCAGGCGTAGGTAACATCTTAACCTACAATAAAAGGCATGTGAGTGAGACGGAATTTAGCCAGTACCAGTAGCCATTTTTCCCCCAATAGATACGCGTCAGGCTGACTTGTTAGCTTTGACAAAAAAAAAACTAAAACCTTGCTTCCTCTACACTCTGTTTTCTGTAATATAAACCCGACTTTTGATACTAAACCCAAGCAGGCATGGCACCATGTAACATCCATAGAGATTTTTTTAAAAAAATAATAAGGAAAAATAGAGAGCTGTATTCTAATAGCAGCGATTACATACCTTGGTTTTCTGCCAGAGGATCCTTGTACAGGTCACGAGCTCAGCTACAGTGCTACAAACTTCATCCGAAAAACGCGACGAACAGAAGTAGCCAGTACCAATAACACCTTGGTTGGTGTAAGACAAAAAGAAAAAGAACAAAAGGAGAGTTATTATCATACAATTTTGAAGAGAGGAACAAGAATCTCGTGGAACCCGGTTCCTGACTGGCGCTGCCGGCGCTTCTACTTCTTCTTACATACTCCTTAACGCTTTCGCATCGAAAAGAGACAATAAGAAATATAAGATAAACTTAAAACTTATAGCTAAGGTAAAAACAAAAATTTCAATAACTTTCGTAAAGGGGATTAGGTTCCAATCCTTTACAGTTCCCGGAAAGAAGCTTAAGAGATGACAGTCATGACGAGAGTTAGGTTGAATATGCGTCGAGCGGCTTCTTGTCAAACGCAGCGCCTGCTGGAAGTAATGTGGTACCGGTAAAGCGATCACCATGTTGTGTACTTGCTAAAACGTTCCATACCGATGAATTTTTCTTCTGTCTTTCAAAGGTACTAAGGACAGTAAACGCTTCGACAAGAACTGTCTCTTACAAAAGTATTTCATGGTCATCAAGAAAATACTTTTTTGAGTTTGAGTCTATCATGGCTCTCAAGCAATTCCACCTTTCTTCTACTCACTATTGCTATTAAAATAACGTGCAGCATATTTAACAGGGTAAAAAATATAGCGGTAAATAAAAAAAAAAGATATAATTGACGATGAAACATGGGAGGGTAAACAGGATAAAAATTCATCTCAGGTAGAGAGAGTGCACGGCTTAACATGTTTTTGAAACTGAGCTTTCGGCGTTCAGTTTGAAACCTTTAAGAAAATTTAACAATGGACGCCGAAAGCTGCAATGTTTTTAGAAAAGGGAACAAATCAGAAGAAACTATTAACCTAAAATTTGATTGGAGTAAATCTGGTAACTTACCGAAGATTTTATCTATAGAGGCATTTGAAGGCAAGGTACAGTTAAAGATAGAAAACTGTCGTTTCAATCGTTCAGGAATATCATTTCTTCCTCCCCCTGGATGAATCATTGCCGCGATAAACTGGATGTCGACAATGTGCGTGAACTCGCCAGGTTTCTCCAGATTGTAAAAACCTTGTTGTTCCATGACTTGACGAACAATTTCATTGGTTATCTACGTAACAATGCAAGGTACACTGCATTAGAGTTTCCAGCANAACTTACCGAAGATTTTATCTATAGAGGCATTTGAAGGCAAGGTACAGTTAAAGATAGAAAACTGTCGTTTCAATCGTTCAGGAATATCATTTCTTCCTCCCCCTGGATGAATCATTGCCGCGATAAACTGGATGTCGACAATGTGCGTGAACTCGCCAGGTTTCTCCAGATTGTAAAAACCTTGTTGTTCCATGACTTGACGAACAATTTCATTGGTTATCTACGTAACAATGCAAGGTACACTGCATTAGAGTTTCCAGCAGAGGAGAAGGTATGCTAGGAGGGCTGTCAACCCCCAACCTCTTCAAATATTGAGAATCGATAAGGAAGGGATGATAAATGACGTCATAACGCACAGCACATGACGAATTTGTGCAAACCAGCCATCATAACTAACCTGGTCACCCCATTCATTGATTATGGGCATGTTGATGTCATCAATGAAGCAGGTCATTTTCCGGCCAGCGGGAGGACCGTACGTTGTACCAACTCGTTTGTCCACATAGCTCTCAATGGTCCGCTAATAAGGAGATTTTACAACGTTAAAGATTTTCAATTCAATCAGAAAATGTGGGTCACATACACTGATCACCAGGCACGTGTCATTTCCTTGGACACGACCACTTCTTCGCTGAAGTTGTTTCCCAAAATAAGTACATTGAAACCCCGCCTTACGGCTACCTCGATAATACGGTCACCTCGTTATTACGGCCACTTTTTTTGGCCAATTTTTTATGACCCATTGGTAACCGTATTAACGGGTTTCACTATTATACAGTCGTTCAAGTCCCTGTTTGCTCGTCATGAACATTGCGGCATCTTACAAACACCTTACTATTACGTCCGTTTGGCGAAATATATGCGCAAGTTTGTTTTCGTGCTTCAAGTAGCCTTTGTTCAATATGACCTGGACCTCACAAGGGCCCGATTACATATGCAACTTAAGGTAAAGTAGCAACCCTTTGTTCCAGAGGACTTTCTGCAGTCTGGAAAGAATACGTCAACCGAAGTAGCGAACATAGGAGACACAAAGAGAGTACAAGCGATAATTAGAAACATGGAAAACAGTTGCAGAATATTCTCTCGTAATATTAAGTTGCTCTATTCAACCGGGCCCTGGGGTCGGTAAGAAACTTAAGCAAAGACGTTTTTGACCGACGCACGTCAACCGGAAGTGAGGCCTTCAACCAAACTACTGCCCAATGATGCAAATAGTCCACTTCCGGTTGACGTCGGTCGCTCAAAACCGCTATTGCTTGAGCTCTCTATTGACTTGCCTGAGTAGGGCTAACTTACCTGGAATAGCATTGGAGTGGTTGCCGAGGAGAAGTTCACACTCTTACTCACGTGAGCTTCGGGATTGTACTTTGCCAGGTAGCCTTTGATCATCACTGTCTTGGCTGTACCTTGTTCGCCAATAAGCAGCACCGCCTACAAACAAAGATCAGGGCTCCTGAATGTTTTCTTTTTAAAGAGGAGAACTTAAACTTTCTACCCCATTTACCTAAATTTACAGTATCCAGGTGGTTCGCAACAGTTTTTGGCCTTTAAAATGTAATGATAAATTGAAGGAACAACATTACTTGATTTTATCAGTTGTTGTTACGTACAGAAATCAAAACATGGCAACCATAGCAACAGCAAAGCCCGTTATTACTCCCTTAAATTTAGCTTAAATGTCGTGACTGAAAACCTAACACCTTCAACTGGAAAGTGCAGGGAAAAAAATCAGGAAAAAATTCTTAGTTTACATCTGGAAGTGTTAATCAACGATAGCCTCGTTTAGTTGCTCTTATCCCGAGTTCGAAAATGCTGATCATACTCGGTTTCCCTTTTGTGCATGTGCGCGTTATACAGCATACCTTATGCTGCTTGGCAATAGTCTCCATAAGGAAACTTGTTCGGACATTGTCGACATTTGGTACTAGGATAGAGGAATATTCAGGTTTGGAATCCGATGGATAGATGTACTCCTGCACTCGGTTCCTCCAATGCTCCCAGTTGCCTAGTAACATAAGCAAATCAATGGGGTTAAACTTCGCACCCTCCTTAAAAACCGCATAAGATTATTAATCGCACAGTCATTTGCCAGGGGCCCGTTTCTCGAAAGTCCCGGTAACTTTACGGGCCCGATATCAGATATTCTAATCGAAATATAAAGAATAAGAGCGCAGGTCCTGACTAGCAAACTACTCCATTTTGTTTCATTAACTGACAGTTTTATCATGTTAGATGCAAAACTATTGTAACCTGGATCTTTAATGTAAACGGAGACAGCATACCGGGTCCGTTAATTATCGGGACTTTCGAGAAACGGACCGCAGGTTCTCTTTAGAAACGATATGAAAACTACAGCAAAATTGCGTTCCGCAATTCTTTCTGGCATAGCCGGTAAGCTATTGGCCAATTTTTTCCCTGTCCTTAGGAACAATTCCATTATATTCTTTTGACGGTAAAGAAAGACAACACTTCATTATAAAAACTTGAAAAACTTAAGAAACTCAGTTACTGAATATACATGATTTAATTAAAGTTGCTTTGGCAATGTGTCATGAGCAATTAGGCTTTGGAAATTTGAGCAGACGGAACTCACTAAAATGATTTGAGACTGATTTGCTTGAGTGACCGCCAAACAATACATTTCCAGTGCGCAATTGCCCAATACCCAAAGTAACCCCTATTGAATCAGGGATATGCAGCAAATTTTTGAGGTGAGTACGCCGCGAAAAGCCGTGTAAGATCCGTAAAACCGCATTGAGCCTCTGGAAAGCAAAGTCTTAACACTTTTATAACGCCCACTTACCGCAGTCATCTACAACAAACTCAAAAATGGTGTCAAAACTGTCCTCATCTATGTCAGGTAAAGGTAGCTTGCCGTGTTTAACAAGGAATTCTTCCATCTTAGCGCGATCGTCCAGTTCAAGGAGGGCACCCACTCCCCACATGAGAGCAAACACAAACAGACGGCTCAAATGGGTGGCACTCAGAATGCCATGCTCCTCTTTACTTGGAATAAGACCTTGAAGAAGGTCAAGGCACTGGAGTTGAAGAGAGGACGGTAAAAGAATATTAGAATAGGTGGAAGATCAGAGTAGCTGAAACGTATATTACGTATTCAACGTCTATAAACTGTATCGTATATAACTGGGTAACTGTTTTCTGTTATGAACTGAAGAGAATTTGAGGCCTTAAATGAATAAAGGAAATAATTTAAAACAGTTGTTTTCCCATATAAATCATTCTAATTTTCGGCGGTCGTTGCAATCGCTCATTTGGATATATATGGCTAGCAATTTACAAGTTACATAATTTTATTATGCTCTTTCTTTTGCTGCTAAAAATATGAATCCAAAATGAATTCATTTTCCTTTTTTTCCTCGATCGAGCATTTCCAAATGCCTATTAAAGTGCACAGACCTGTGTGATGACATTACACTCCAACACTACCATCTTTGGATTCAGGTTCTGCTTGACGTAAGTGTAAACCTCATCAAACACGCACTCGAACAACTGCTCCAGTACATCGTGCTCCTGTGGCTCTCTCTTGTTCAGCCACGCCTAACAACACATCAAAAGGAATCGGTAAAGAAGACCTATTGGTAACCGCTAAAATTACAGAAACCCACATCCGGCTGAAAATTGGTCGCTTTATTTAGAAACGAATCTGAATATTTACAAAACAAGGAAAAGTTGAGTGTCATGGTACACGGGACTTACCAAGCACTGGGTTTCCAAACTTTGGGGTGCGCTATCCAATGGATAAGTCACTCTCCGGGGGATAAGTATTAGGGAAGCTAATTGCGTTATCCAGCGGGTAGAGATTTGTTCAGTGAATAGCACTATGCACCTTTTAAATAACTAGGGCCAAAAGGTTTCTGAGAACAAAGTCTAAGACCTGTACAGCGTGGGGATACAGTATCCATGCATATAGGAAGTACATTCTTGGAGACACTCATGTTCGTTCACGGACTCATGTCACGTCATGTCATGGTCACAGAATATTGGTTATCCCTTGTTACCGCTTATTTTTAATCTGGCCCCAGTTGCTAAAACGTTGGAAAGCACTATGCACAGAATGAATCATTATCAAGCGGAAAAGTGTTAAGGAAATCAATTGCACTGTCCACTGGGTAGAAAGTTATCTTGTGGATAGTGCCATCCACCTTTTGAATTGCGCTATGCTGGAGCGTTGCAGTTAAGACTACACATTTCTACAATTAATTCCTAGTTAATAGTTTGTAAAGTTCTTTTAGACTTGAAAGCACATCGTTACCTTGACTATAGGCCTCCAGTCCATGACAGATGAGCTCATGTACACCATTCCATTACGCGATACTGTGGCCGGAGAAGCGTTATCGATGTTGTGTGGTTCAAAAACAACCTTACACTGAGGAGACATGGGAATGCGATCACCGTTGGCTAGCGTGAGGGTCTTGTTGTCATCAAGTACACTGTTCAGGTTCTCAATCCATATGGCATCCACGGGTCCATCCAGAACGATCCAGATGTGCTCTCCTACAACATTGGACAGGGAAAAAATTTCAATACAGACACAAGCCCATAGGCAGAATTTAGTTTGCTAGGTGCGACGGTTACCAGGAGGGTCTGGAAGGCATGTTCCAAAAATTTTTAAAATGAATTGTTTAAGAATATTGTCTTTGTGTGCTTTGACTGATTTCCTGTACTTCTTTTTCGATTTGTATGCGACTAACGACTCAGTGCGTTTCACTCGAAAGAATAGAAGTGTAATAACCACAATTTCGAGTTCACCGTGAGCTCAAAAATTATAGCCCTGAACACGCATTTTTACAGGGTTAGCCTCCATCTGGAGTGAATATATTCACAAATTCCAATGAAAAGTAGACCTTTTCACATTTAACTTTTTCAGTTTCAAATTTCAGACATCTCCCTGCCAGTATTCGTGAACATTTTACTTGAGATCGAGGCTAAACCAGCGGTAATCTGACGGAGTATCAAGCAGTTAACTGAGTAGCAACCTTTCTTTGCCTTGAGTGTCTTTCTCCAAAGTGTAGAGAAGATACCGTCTGTCCAGTCATTTGTGGCTACGTCAAGGCGACCAAACATCTGTGGCGCAGTGATGGCTTTAGGATTCATGCGCATTTCCCGATGGGGAGCACCGCAGTCCCCCATGGCTTTCATTAAAATGTTAATACACATTGTCTTGCCGGCTCCACTGGGACCCAGGGTCATCATACCATGGCGAACACGCTGAGTCTCATACAACTGGAGGAAAGTAGATAATTGAAACATAAACTGGTAAACAAAATTTTCAATTTTAGAAAAATAAAACTGCTGTTAACAGAAACGTTAGAAATTGATACGATCATAGGTCAGAAGAGGGGCATGTTTAAGGGTAGTCTTGACCAGTTAAGAGACGCAGATACGATTTTCAAATGTCGTTTGCCTAATTTGGGTAATCATTTGTCACTTAAATCACATTGTCCCAGTCGTATTGTTTTTTACCCTCTTTTTAACATCAGGGAAAGGCGAATACTCCGAGAGTTGAAATATTTAAGTCGCACTTGCGACTTGAATATGATTCTAACTCGTCATCACTGCACAGCGATCCCATGAGATAGCTAAGCTCATGCGCATAATCAGTGCTTTTGGCGGGCGAAATCAGAGTAAAAGAAAGCACTTCTTCATTTCCTTCATAACTTAGGAGATACTATATCCTATGGGAAACGAAAGAGATGAGAAGGCAGAGAAACACGCAGACTGTAACAGGAAAGGGCGTGTACTCTAAAAGGGGTACCCCAATATCCCCCTCCTGATCGTATCTAAGCTTGATTTTGAGTTAGGCTCAAACCAAAAAAGACAACGCCTTTTTTCTTACTCTTAACATAACAGATCCGAAGGGAAGAGAAAATAAAGATAAAGCTGAGAATGACACAGTCTTAAAGGGTTGTACAAACAATTTACTAACTTGGATGAGTTTAAGAATCCAGGGAGGGTGAAAAATGAGTCCTGCTTCTTCCACGTGTTTCTGGATCATGGACTCTAGTTCAGGGTAACCCGCCTTGTCAAGAACAATTCCCGGGAATAAATCATTGATCAAGCTTAGGAAAAGAGGTTCATCTTCATCGACCTGAAAAATCGAAGACAACAATGATGTCAGCCATGAAAAATAATGCGAAATTGATATCTCGTGCCAAAAAGAAGCGCATTGGTTCTTGTAACTAAAGATTCTTTTGTTTCACTTGTTACAATTTGAAAAACAGAAAAAATGTTTGTAAACAGTCAAGTCTCCTACTTCACCTTGTGTTATGTAACTACCCGAAACTAATTAGGCAGATTTAGTAGACAACCTGACGGAAATAATAACGGCGCGGGCAAATCAAAACATCGGCTTGACCAATGATAATGCGGTAAATTGCGCGCCGGAAGTTTGTGCTAAGTCACTCTATTTGCTATTGTGGTGCTGTTTTGATCCCATTTTTAGCAGTTTCTTACCAGTTTGGAGAGGTTCATGTCTCTTAGCACTCTCATTACAGTGGTACTCTCGCTGTCTTGTGGGTTGGCTCGTTTGGCGGCTCCCAGTGTACGCAAAACTGACAGGATGTTCCTCAAACCAAAGTCATAATGAACCTAGAGAAAATCAAACTTAACTGAGTTAGAGAGAAACGGTGGGGTGTACGGCGAAGGAAGACTTCGTTGTCTACGCGGGATAAAGGTGGGCTGAACGGCGAAGGACGACTTCGTTGTCTACCTTGGTGAAGGTGGGGTATATGGCGAGGGGGCACTTCGTTGCCTACTTAGGCTGAATGTTGGATGTACAGCAAGGGACGTTTTCGTTTACCACCTGCTGGGCTTAAGGGTGGGGTGTACGACGAGAGACTAGTTTGTTGTCTACCTGGGGTAAAGGTGGGGTAAAGGTGGGGTAAAGGTTGGGGGTTTAGACATTTTACCTGTTTGCTGAGCTGTTCTTCGCAGAGCTTGTACAGTGTGAAGAACTTTTGAGCCAGAATAACGTTCTCGATAAAACCACAGCTAGCGAGTTTGACACGCATAATGATCTGTGAAAAATACGATCCAATAAACAAGTGAAGCTATTAAGCACTACACTAAAAAGGAAATGACAAATAATCTTTTGCAGGACATATCATAAAATAAAAACGTCATAAAGCATTGAAAGAAAACTAATATAGACGCCGACCATCAAAAATACGAAAGTTTTCAAGCAGCTCATACCTGTCTGTCAGGAACCATCATGGCCACTGTGCGAAACTGAACTTTGAGATTCTCCGGCAATTCCTGGCGACCCGCATATCCAGGATTCTACATCAACAGATAAGTAATACATAGAAGGAAACGTTAAGTACAAGTTCCGTATAATCCGGTTGGTTAATACACTGAAGTGGCTGTCTACTTTTTCTTCAAAACCAAGAGATACGACATATCAAATGGGCGTGGTCGGCTTGAACCAATTTCTTGGGAAAAAGGCACGAGGGCAGTTACCTACAATGTTATACTGATCCGATGCTATTATGTTGAATAGAATATTATCGGCTCCTCTCAATAGCAAGGTGCAACATATTTTGTCCAGGGAGAATGTCACAAAACGTTTTAATCATCTGAAAACTGCAAAACGGCACTAGAAATCGAAAAAGTGATACAAAGTTCTAAGCCGAACTAGAGATTAACATCTACTTATCAAACTCATTAATAATTCATAGAGAAAATACAAAAAGTTTAAAGAGTGTTTGGAAATGAGATGAAAAACTGCTCATTTTTGCATCCTTAATTTCTCCTTCTAAAATCATTTTGTTTGAGAAGTAAAATCAAGCATTCGACACAGTGTTTCATCACCAGATCGAAGAAACACCTCCACGTTCGTCAAAAAAAAAACCGCTGCGCGTCTCATTTTCAACTCTCTTCTCAGTGTTTCATCTGGTGATGAAACACTGCATCTCATGCTTGATATATTACATCTAACAATTACGACACAATAGTTTTCCATCCCTTCTCGTCTCATACTTTATCCATTATATAATGAATATCACTCACCATGGTAAGAAATATACCAAATTCCGGGTTGAGATCAACCACATCGCCATCCGTGAAAATAAACTGTTTCTTTCTGTCCTTTTTTGCTGTTAACACGATGTAGATTTGTTGGGCGGCAACTGATAACACAGGCAACTCGATACGATTGAACTCATCAAAACAGCCCCAGCTTCCAGACTGCGCCAAGCCTGTCAGACAATGGAAGAATCAGAGGGCCAAATCAACTTACTATAAACAATACAATATATAAATTTACTTGTCTAACAAAAGCGTTATTTGTACCACTTCTGGTCGTTATTGTATTGTAATTGCATTGTAATTTGTTTTTTTTTTAAGAGGCACTTTGGAGTTCTTACGATCTAATTGGAATTTGGAAGTGTTGGTTCTTGAAGAGAGGGGAAAACCGGAATACCCGGAGGAAAACCTCTCGCAGCAAAGGAGAGAACTAACAACAAACTCAACCCAGATATGGCTTCGACACCGGGACTTGAACCCGGGCCACATTGGAGAAAGGCGAATTCTTTCACCACTGTGCCAAACTTGCTCCCCAAAAATAGAACAAGCGATAAGAGAAAATGGTATGACGATGTCTTTCTTGTGAACAGAAATTTTATTGTTGTGACAGTTTTCTACCTTTGTAAATTCGACCAAGTCCCCTGAAGTCCATCTGATCAGAGCAATTAAAAACAACGACGTACTTTCCAAGAGCCTTTCCCATGTCTTTANCACGATGTAGATTTGTTGGGCGGCAACTGATAACACAGGCAACTCGATACGATTGAACTCATCAAAACAGCCCCAGCTTCCAGACTGCGCCAAGCCTGTCAGACAATGGAAGAATCAGAGGGCCAAATCAACTTACTATAAACAATACAATATATAAATTTACTTGTCTAACAAAAGCGTTATTTGTACCACTTCTGGTCGTTATTGTATTGTAATTGCATTGTAATTTGTTTTTTTTTTAAGAGGCACTTTGGAGTTCTTACGATCTAATTGGAATTTGGAAGTGTTGGTTCTTGAAGAGAGGGGAAAACCGGAATACCCGGAGGAAAACCTCTCGCAGCAAAGGAGAGAACTAACAACAAACTCAACCCAGATATGGCTTCGACACCGGGACTTGAACCCGGGCCACATTGGAGAAAGGCGAATTCTTTCACCACTGTGCCAAACTTGCTCCCCAAAAATAGAACAAGCGATAAGAGAAAATGGTATGACGATGTCTTTCTTGTGAACAGAAATTTTATTGTTGTGACAGTTTTCTACCTTTGTAAATTCGACCAAGTCCCCTGAAGTCCATCTGATCAGAGCAATTAAAAACAACGACGTACTTTCCAAGAGCCTTTCCCATGTCTTTAGTTGTTTCTAGGATAGAAAGAAGAACAAATGATAAGCAGGAGAAGATACCTCCCTTACAATCCTGTGTTGAGTGGAAACACGTTTTCATTGCCTAAGAACCTCATCACCCTTACTCTTAACAGGATTGAAAATCCATTATTTCATTTCGAAAGAATGGCGCGAAACAGAGGCAATAGAGAGATTTGGAGCTACTTTCAGTTTACGGCAAACGGCAAACGTGAATTTGTACCACGTGACCAAGCTTTCCCTTAACTTGTGCTCTACTATTCATTACTTCGTTCTACCCCAAAATCAGTAGCTTCACGTTAGTTATGTCTTTAACAGCTGTTTTGGACCGTTTTTCTCAACTTGAATCTGATGTTTGCCGTTTGCCGTAAACGTCACTCTAAATCTCTATAACGCCGTTGAGGTTTCATTCAAATGTTTACACCTCAGAATTTTGTCCAAGGACTTAGAAGTTTAAACTGCTGCATTACTCTGTTAAGAAATGGGTTACTGTCCGACCTCTTTAGCCCCAAAAAACGTTTCTGCTAGAGAGACTGTGGCCACTATGCTGTGGTAAGGTTTTATAGTAAATGTCCTCTCCTGACAAAGGCAAGAGAAATCAGTGATAAGGATTTAATGGACGAAAGGAGGGAAGGGCAAGATATGGCTCCCTTTATTGTTTAAGAAGAGCTGTGCTTTGACCCACCCGTCTTTCCAGTACCAGCCGGTCCAGCGGGTGCTCCACCCATTGACATGCCCAATGCCTGAGCCAGAGTTATGTAACATCTGTCCGTGAGGGGAGTGATAACGAGTCTGTCTGTGCAGCCCAGAAATTCGTTCTGGTAACTAAAGTCCACGTCCGTGATCGAGATGATGCAGTCATCGATGTCTTCTTTAAAGTAGAAACGAGACTGCTTTAGCCATTCAAAGTCTGTAACTGAGCGGATGTGCATCTTGACCTGTGCGTCAAAAGGAAAGACAAATTTAAAAACATATTGATATCTTTCTTAATAAAATCAGAAATTCATTTGTCAGGTTATGAACTTCTTTTCTCTTTCCCTGGCTGAGGGTGATGTGGGTGAAATTACTTTGTATAGCACATTGTTGCAGGCGACAAGAGGAGCCCGCAATCCTAATCTCCAGGGCCCAGTTGTTCGAACGCCGGTTAACGCTAATCTGGGGTTAAATTTTAACCCGGGTTTCTTTTTCTTGTTATCAAAAGCACTCTCTGGGATAATTTTCTGTATTCTTTGTAGAGTATCCAATCATCAAATTGTAGGCAAAGAGAATTACACTGAATTTGCTTTTTAAGCTCTCATATTTGAGATCAAATTTCGCACCTACCCTGGGTTATCTTAACCCCGATTCGAACAACCCGGCCCAGGTTGTTATTATACATGCGTTGCAGTTGCACTTTCACATCACGCGCATTTGGACCCTCTCTTACTCGTAATCAGATCACGCGTATGTATACTATCTGTCACGTAAAACTTGCGCAACACATAGCAATGGAGCAAAATCGTTTTGACCTTAGATTGTTGTCGCCTGCACTCTGTAAACTTTGGTTATTACTAGTTTTAGATTTAAATCCCCTATCAATCTCAGAAGGCAATAACAGATGGAGACGGCAGTCTTCCTTGTTGAAATAGGCCATTTCCAAGTTCCAAAAACTCCCACTTTCAAAACAAGGCAAGAACAAAACCTTTGTTGTGAAAATGAGTTTATTTGCCTGAGAATAAAAATTCATTTTCATATCAATGGCTTCTCACTTAGCCCCACTTTGAAACAAAGGCTTGAAGAAAGTCGAAATTGGCCTATCAATAAAAAATATGCAAATTAAAAACTGGCACAACAGAATTGTATTCCGACATGCCATAATATAACCAACAGTCACAACACAACTGTTTTTTTTTTTTTTTAANTGTCTTTAACAGCTGTTTTGGACCGTTTTTCTCAACTTGAATCTGATGTTTGCCGTTTGCCGTAAACGTCACTCTAAATCTCTATAACGCCGTTGAGGTTTCATTCAAATGTTTACACCTCAGAATTTTGTCCAAGGACTTAGAAGTTTAAACTGCTGCATTACTCTGTTAAGAAATGGGTTACTGTCCGACCTCTTTAGCCCCAAAAAACGTTTCTGCTAGAGAGACTGTGGCCACTATGCTGTGGTAAGGTTTTATAGTAAATGTCCTCTCCTGACAAAGGCAAGAGAAATCAGTGATAAGGATTTAATGGACGAAAGGAGGGAAGGGCAAGATATGGCTCCCTTTATTGTTTAAGAAGAGCTGTGCTTTGACCCACCCGTCTTTCCAGTACCAGCCGGTCCAGCGGGTGCTCCACCCATTGACATGCCCAATGCCTGAGCCAGAGTTATGTAACATCTGTCCGTGAGGGGAGTGATAACGAGTCTGTCTGTGCAGCCCAGAAATTCGTTCTGGTAACTAAAGTCCACGTCCGTGATCGAGATGATGCAGTCATCGATGTCTTCTTTAAAGTAGAAACGAGACTGCTTTAGCCATTCAAAGTCTGTAACTGAGCGGATGTGCATCTTGACCTGTGCGTCAAAAGGAAAGACAAATTTAAAAACATATTGATATCTTTCTTAATAAAATCAGAAATTCATTTGTCAGGTTATGAACTTCTTTTCTCTTTCCCTGGCTGAGGGTGATGTGGGTGAAATTACTTTGTATAGCACATTGTTGCAGGCGACAAGAGGAGCCCGCAATCCTAATCTCCAGGGCCCAGTTGTTCGAACGCCGGTTAACGCTAATCTGGGGTTAAATTTTAACCCGGGTTTCTTTTTCTTGTTATCAAAAGCACTCTCTGGGATAATTTTCTGTATTCTTTGTAGAGTATCCAATCATCAAATTGTAGGCAAAGAGAATTACACTGAATTTGCTTTTTAAGCTCTCATATTTGAGATCAAATTTCGCACCTACCCTGGGTTATCTTAACCCCGATTCGAACAACCCGGCCCAGGTTGTTATTATACATGCGTTGCAGTTGCACTTTCACATCACGCGCATTTGGACCCTCTCTTACTCGTAATCAGATCACGCGTATGTATACTATCTGTCACGTAAAACTTGCGCAACACATAGCAATGGAGCAAAATCGTTTTGACCTTAGATTGTTGTCGCCTGCACTCTGTAAACTTTGGTTATTACTAGTTTTAGATTTAAATCCCCTATCAATCTCAGAAGGCAATAACAGATGGAGACGGCAGTCTTCCTTGTTGAAATAGGCCATTTCCAAGTTCCAAAAACTCCCACTTTCAAAACAAGGCAAGAACAAAACCTTTGTTGTGAAAATGAGTTTATTTGCCTGAGAATAAAAATTCATTTTCATATCAATGGCTTCTCACTTAGCCCCACTTTGAAACAAAGGCTTGAAGAAAGTCGAAATTGGCCTATCAATAAAAAATATGCAAATTAAAAACTGGCACAACAGAATTGTATTCCGACATGCCATAATATAACCAACAGTCACAACACAACTGTTTTTTTTTTTTTTTAAAGAGACTAAGAATTTTAAAACAAGACCTGAGAAGATTAAGTCAACATTCTTGCGTATATAGTTTAGATATGATGGCTAATGCAGGGGATGACAGTTAACTCTCATTTTAACTTACGAGGTCATCGAAAATATCTCTCTGATGCACGTGAATAGTGACAAAGGTCTCAAATTTGGTTCTCTCCATCTTGGTTAGTTCTTGTGTGGTGACTTCAATCAGTGAGTTCAACAGATTAAGAAACTTCTGGTTAGTGGCCGCCATGACCTTCTTGTCAGACCGTGCGTTCTTAAGTGCTTCTTCCGCGTCTCTGGTCCATATCATCTGAATACCTAGCAATCCAACCTGATAATGGTGGACAGAAATTAAAATACCGTAATTTGCTAGTATGCTCTCAAAAACAACAACAAGAAAAATGTGAGGGAAGGTGGGAACTTAGTTAATTTTTCTCAGACCATGTAAAGCGATGGCGAAACGTATTACGGAGTTCTCTCTATTACGGGTCGAAGATGTCAAACTTCATACAATCTTTACCTCTTTATGACAACAGGGACACCACTTCGTAAAGCGGACACTCGACTTTGCCCCAGGGCGGAAAGAGCGCTCGTGCCAGTCCTACTCCGCATCACACATTAAATGAAGAGCGGAGCGCTCGTTTCACCGCCCAACATTTATCCGCCCTGCTTTCCCCTATTGGTGTCCTTATTTAGTTGGTGTGACTGTGATACAGACACCTTACTTGCTGCGAATACGCAGGATCTAAGATTTTCGGGGAAATAACGGCAAAAAAACTATAATATAATTTGTAAAAGATTAACATTGCCGGAGAAATACCTTTATAGCAGCACTTGGTATGCATTTGCAGAGCTTTAGAAGGAATGTAGGTAGCCTTGAACACATTGGTTTCAGTATCTGGGAGGAATGCCCTGAAAAAAGCTGGGTAGTGAACTAACCTGTGAGGGGAACTGGCCCAGAAAGTTCATAAGATTGAAGCCGCCATCGTTAATAGCAAGATAAGCATCTCTGATAACAGCGTGTAGTGAGTTCATAGCTTGATTAAGCAAGTCTCCTAACCACAGCT